CACACACACACACACACACACACACACACACACACACACACACACACACACACACACACACACACACAACCGCCTCTTTTCCCGGAAGCTCCGCCTCCACCCCCAGCCATCAGAATCCCTGAGACTGACCAATCACGACAAACGTGCCGATCTCGTGACGGCGTCCGCTCCACAGATCTGGCACCAAACCCTCCAGGGAAGGACAGAAAACATAACCAGAGGGAAGAGTACGCATACAGCAAAGCTGGGCCGGAGAAGAGCGCGTAATGAGGAGATATTAACTCACCTTTTTTCTTTCGTCGGAGTTTTCCGTCTGCTTGCCGTCCTTTCGCTTCGTCCTTCTACCTGGAATCGCTTCTTTCCTCCGCTGCGCAATTGATCATCGACGCATCACCCCAGCCTTGGGCGCTGCGAGCAGTTGTAATTGCCAAGTGAACGAGGGGAGAAAGAAAGAAACTTGAAAGCAAAAACGAGAGAGAGAGAGAGAGAGAGAGAGAGAGAGAGAGAGAGAGAGAAAGACACTGCACAGCGGCCTCCCTCGTTCCGTTCTTCCTCCCACCCTCCTCTCCCTCCCAGCAGCACAAGATACCCCCTCAACTGTCAAGCTTCTCAAAAACTCACAAACCCCGGGCAGATCCTCCCGTTGCTTTCCATGTCCTCCTCCGCTCCCATCCGCCCAACCCCACCACCACCGGCAGGAGTGTCTTCCTCTCCTTCGAGTGTGCTGCCGACCCGCCGCATTCGCACCCCACCAGCCAGGAACGGGCAAACAGGAAGAGTGTATGGACGAAACAGGAAACAGAAACAGTGATCAATCAAACGAGCACACAAACAGTCAAGCAATAACATTCATCAATCCTTCCACACTCACTCATTATCTATGTGGTACACTGCAAACCACTCTGCGACTCCACTTCATCGACCAATCACTTCATCGACCAATCACTCCACCGATCACTCACTGCATCGATCACTCAGTCGACGCGTAGCCGTGGACAACCAATCAACCGCTCCCTGCGCACTCACCAGAGGCAAACTCAGAGGACCGACATCCCAGGTCCAGCTACAGACAGTCCCGTATATTGCCGCCGCCACGGACAGCTGCACCACGTGCCATCCCCAATGAATGGGACGAGTGATCGAGTCCGCCGAAGGCCAAGTCATACGCACCCGGGAATGGCACCGCGACAAGCGGCGCGACAAGCGGACGGAGAACCAATCTCAATGGGGCCAAGATCACTCTCTCTCTCTCTCTCTCTCTCTCTCTCTCTCTCTCTCTCTCTCTCTCTCTCTCTCTCTCTCTCGTCCGTCCCTACCACGTGTCAAAGAGTAGTGCGCGAGTACTGCTGCAATCTATATCAATCAACACGAGCACAAGGCAGAGAGAAAAAGATGATGTGTTGTAAAGTCTGAGAACGCCGCACGCTAACTCTCGTCCCGTCCCTTCCCTTCCCTTCTCTTCCCTTCCCTCCCCTTCCCTCCCCTCCTTTCCACACGCAACTCCCCAACGAAATCCCTGCTTCCTCGCTTCTCCTCCCCTAGGAAGTCGCCCTTGCCACATCAGCGCCGACCTCCGCGGAATACCACCAGCATATTATTGCACGGCGAAGAAACACAAATAAGAGGCGGAGAACAGGGCCCCTGTAGCAGGGGGCAGCCCGCGCATTACCTTTCCCACCGCCGTCGGCTCGTAGGGGCGCTACACCGCGGTTTCGCGCCACGGGACCTNGGGCAGCCCGCGCATTACCTTTCCCACCGCCGTCGGCTCGTAGGGGCGCTACACCGCGGTTTCGCGCCACGGGACCTTGCGAGGACGCGACCCACGTGCGACCGCGGCGCGGGCTGGCCGATAACAAGCCCTCGCGCGGGCGGTTTCACTCACGGAGGAGGAGGGAAGCGGGAAAAAGGGTGAGCCCGCGGGCGGGGTCATCACGGCCAGATTCGTCCAAGTGTGGTTGCAACTCCGGTCAGATACGTCGGGAAAGTGTTACTGTGCGCTGATTGAGTGTGAAGAGGAAAAAGGAAGGCTCATAGCTTGGGGGGGGGAAAAAACAAAGGTTCGCCTGGCTACACTCTGGCAACGAAAAAGAGAGCACGCATGCCAGATCTGCAGACGCAGAAGGGCCAAAGCGGGGGGGGGCTGAGCCTGCCTGACGAGCAAAAGCGAACACCGGGAGGCGCGCAATGAGAACCGCTGATCAGGTGGCTGCCACCATGGCAGCGACAGATCTGCCACGCCGGCGTCAGGTGAAAGGGGAATTTAAGAGGGCCAATCGGACCAAGGGCAGATCGATGCGAGAGACAGATACGAAAGGGAAAAAGGGGGGCTGCACGGGAAAGCGCAAGGAAAAGGGGACGCGGGATATGCAGAGCGCCTGCCTGCACTGTCAATGTTGCTCAGCTGTTCCCTGTCCTTTCTACCCTATAGGGCCCTTGGCGGGTGATCAACCGACGGTAACCGACGGCCAGGACAGCGTAACGAACTGCTACCTTTTCCGTTTGAGCCTAGCTCACTTGCTAAGGCACGCAAGTGGCATTCAGGAGGTCCTCGGTTCAATCCCCATTGGCCTCATGTACTTTCCTGGGCAAGCTTGGCGCCCGCCACCCAGAGATAAGCAAGCCATTGGTCACCCCGAGTGCATCGAGCAGAGACCGCTTGCCAGAGACCGCTGACGTTCCTTGGGGGACGAACCGGAGGGGAGGCACAGCAACTGACCCGTCGAAGAAGCTCGGTCCTGATGCTACCAGCTGACCGCTGGCCAGTATCACCGACCTGCTGTAGCAGGATATCGCACCGCCGGTAGGTGCAGCTCCCGCATTTTTTTTATTTTTAGTTTTCTTTTGAAAAAGGGCGACGGCCTTGAGATATCATCATTGAGCTGACCGGCCCCAGGCAATTAAGAAATATTTGGTTTTACTCGTCAATAAGTTCCTTCATCCAACAACAACAAAAAAAAAAAAAAAAAAAAAAAAAAAAAAAAAATCCTTCATCTGGGTTCAAACACGGGTGTGTATTTCGACAGTTGAGTGGTGCACCCACTGAGCTCGGCTCTTGGGTTGCTCCTGCATTTTCGCTCGTTGGAGGCTTGAGCACGGATATGGCTGCTACAGGGTTCCCCGTAATACTATAACAACAATAAAAAAGGCCCGAAAGGCCGTCCTGTCCAGATTTGACAGGTGATTGACGTATGGCCATTCTGAGCTGCGATGGGAGATGGCTGTTTACCTCCACCAGAGTGGGGCAAAGTTGCCCTCTCTCCTCCAACAGGTGTCTGCAGAAAAGAATTCCAGGTTCGAGGAGCGTGCCATAAAAGCCAACTGTTTGAGGGACAAAATGCAAATAAACAGATCTTTAGGGGCACAACCAAAAGTTTGCCTTTTTTATATCACTCAGTAACATGTCAATTCCATCAAACTGTCACCTAGCCTTGGGCCCCACTGCTGCTAGGTTCATGCTTGGACACAGTAGTCGCAGCAAATACCATGACAAGGGTATTTGCTCATGGTATTTGCTCGCATGTCAGCAAGCCACAGTTTGCCTTGGCATGTTTGCAGCCCATCAGGGTTGCGTTTCCCCCCCCGAGACATTTCAACGTCAATCAAATTTCAACGTCAGTGGTCGTCGGGAGAGTGGGCATTTGAGGTTTTGGGGCCTTGCAAGGGCCAGGACCGCGTAGAACCGGTAGCTGCCCGTAGGAGGCCGAGGTCCTTAAGCCATTTTCAAAATTGAAACGGTGCAGGTGCACTTTTCGTGAATAGCAAACCTCCTCGAATAGAAAACGTACGAATTGTATTCGAATATAACAAGTACCCTTTCTATTCGGATTTTGAAAGAGAAAACTTGTGTATTCCAATAAAATTACTTCTTTATTGTTTTTCGAGGTCAGCGCTTGCCCTTCTGCTCCCTGCCACTGACATGCTG